TACAACTTGGCTTTGACACTCCCTCATTAAGAAGTGGGGTTTAGGAAACTGCGGATAGCTCATTTGATAAAGTGCTTGCCTCATAAGCACAAAAACCTGAGTTTGATCCCAGGGACCCAGGGATGGTGACGCATGTTTGTAATCCAGTGTTGCAAATGCAGAGGCAGGAGAATTGCTGAGGCATGCCAGTGAGATGAACTGGCATCCTGGTCCCAGTGAGAGACTGTCTCAGAATTACAAAGCAGAGGACTGGAGAGATGGCTCCACTGTTAGGAGCAGAGGTTCTCTCGCAGGGAGCTCAGATTCTGTTCCCAGCACCCACTTGGTGGCTGTTTCTAATTCCAAGAGGATTCAATGCCCTCTTCTGGCCTCTACTGGTACTGCATATATATGGTACTCAGACACACACACAGGAAAAACAAAGCAAAAACAAAAAAGCAAACAAATAAAAAACACACATAAAATTAAAAATAATTCTTTTTTTTAAAAGGTAAACAACCCCAAGGAACACTGTACATATGCACTCACACACTCAAACACACATCTAGAAGGGGGGCCTATTTCTAGTCTCCTACAGTCATGAGCAACAGAACATAGCAGAAGAGACCTGTAAAACTCAGAAGGCCAACCTTGGCAGTGTCCTCCTTCTTATAACATGTCCTCTGGAAAGTCAACCACCAAACAAAAGACCCCCATGCTAGGAGGAAATATAAGCCAGCCAGTAGATTCAACAACCACATGGAGAATCTACTAAAGCCGAGTAAGAGAAGCTTTCTAGGACTTTCCGGTCTGCTCACCAAGAAAAAAAGAAAAAAAGAACCCAACAGAATGTTTGTTTGGCATGTGCACCGGAAGAACAGCCCAGCCAAGCCCTGCCTGAGTTCCCAGGCCACAGATCAGGAGCAAAATACACGGCTGTTGTTTCCAGCCAGTCTAAAGGTAGTTTGTTAGATAGCAACAGGTAACTGGACCCAGAGATCCCCGGTGGTTCTGTTACTATGTGGCTATGGACCTTAGGTCAAGACTTCCCTCTGGACCTCAATTATCCATAAAGTGAGTCTACACTAGATGCCTAAGGTGCTTTTCAGCTCTGCTGACCAGAACCACAGTCCAGAGAGTATGGCTAGGAAAACAGAGGGAAAAGCTGTGTCCGGGGTAGATAAGGCGGTCACAGACCAGGGGTCAAATGCCCTGGAGGGTACGTATCCAAGGAGGCAGAGGCTAGAACGAAGTAGGGCGCGTAAGTGTTCAGTAAATACATTATGGTTTGGAGATGCAATGTTCCCCATAGGCGTGTTAAAATCTTCATCCCCAGCTGGTGATGCTATGTTAGCGGGTGGTAGAAATTTCCAGGAAGCGGGCCCCGAGCTGGAGGAAGGAAGTAATGACGATAATGCCTTTGAAAGTTAGACCTGGTCTCCAGTTTCCTCTCTCTGCTTCCTTTGTAGCACAGGTGAGTCACTTCCGCCACATGCCCCCACCATCATGGTGTGGGCAGTAAGGGCCACTCCAGCGAGAGGAGCATTCGCTTCTCTGGGCAGTGCACACCTACCTGCATGCTGCCCTCCTGCTGGCCGTATGCCAGGTGTGTAAGCAATCCTGGGGAGGGGGGCTGGGGTTCCCCTCTGCTACCTCAACCAACAGCTAGAAACATCTGCTGAAAGCTCTGAATCCGTGAGCTAAAATGAACCCATCCTGCTCTAAGCGGTGGGAGTCAGGGATTCCATCACAGAGACTGAAGTCTGGCTGGGGCAAAAACAAGTTTTCACTGTTTGATGCTGACACGCTCTGTGAGCTCATCACCAAGTTTTCCACCTGAAAAATAACGCTAATGTTCCTGTTTCTGAAAGCCCCTGGCAGGCAGCAGCCTCCCCGAGCCTATATCCTGCTTCATCAAACTGAAGACACATCTGGTATAAAAGTGGTGAGACTTGAGTGAGATCTTGCAGGTGAAAGTGCATAGATTGGGCTTCATCGTTATATGCATTTGGGATGGGGTGCATGCAGGAAGAAGGGGTCTCGGGTATCCAGATCTTCCCTATACTTCCTGGGTGCTGGGATTGCAAGCATGCATCACCACACCTGAAGCAATCGTGCTGAGGATGTAACCCAGAGCTTCGCGCATACTAGAGCAAGCACTCTACAGACTGAGATACTGGCAGGTATCTATGTTTCTTAAGTAGGCAGAGGTTCCGCCAGGGACACACTGTCCCACCTAACCCTAAATTTCTGTGTCTCCATGGAACTCTGAAAACTGAGAGGCAGATGTCCCAAGAATCACTCCATCCAGTGTTGATTCTGAAAAATTGCCAGCCCTTGGAAGAAGAAGGCTCTGGCTCATTTTCCAAGGCACCTAACAAGGCAACAATGCATTTGCATTTTTATGGTCTGTGCTTTTCCAAAACAAGGAGCAAATGGCTGTGGCTTTAACCCTGAAATCCCCACGGTGATGCATTTCTAGGGACAGACACGGCTCAGTAAAAGGGTGGAAGCTAGCTGCAGAAGGTACTTACTGGGGTGCATGGGGGACAGAGAACTGATCTTCTGCTTCCACCCCCACGCAGGTCTTGGCTGACACGGGATTTGAATATGCCAGAGTCCAGCATCAACCACAAAGATCCAGGAGGAAGGACCCAGTTCATCAACCCAGTCTTGGCCTATGGAAGCTCCACCTGCCCTTGTCCTTTCTTTTCCACCTCACCCTTCTCAATCCTGAACCCTGGCCCCCTGTGTTGTCTGCCTTAGGAACACAGACCAGCCATGGCTTTCCTCTTATTGACCAGCACTATCTGTGAATCCAGAGTTACTATAGAAACCACACTATGCAGCCCCCAGACATTTGCTCAGAAAAGAAACTACATGTTTAGTACTAGAGAGAAAAAAAAATAAAGTGAGATCCAGAAAGTTGAAGGCAAGCGACAAGCCCAATATTCCTTAAGGTCTGGTTGCAATCACTTCATTATGTCACCCAGATACTCATTAAAGGTACACATGTCCCCTAAACACGTCAAGCTAGAACTGTTCGTTGATTTGGTTGGTTTGTTTGTTGGTTGGTTGGTTGGTTCATGGGTTGGTTTTTCCTGATAGAAGTATGTGGCCCAGGCAAGTCACTAACTCATGGTAATCCCCCTGCCTCACCATTCCAACTGCAGAAGATTATACTAAGAATTGGACTTTACTTGAAATTTGTATGTACTTACTTTAGATTTTGACAACTAGCTATGACCAAATGCAGAGGCCTGTGAGAAAAAAAAAAGCAACTTTAAATCTAACTAGTCTTTTTATCTGAACTCTTAAAAACAAAAAAAAAAAAAAAAACAAAAAAAACAGCGCCCATTGGGCTGGAGAGTCCCATCACACAGCTCTTGCAGAGGAGTGGAGTTCAGATCCCAGAGCCAACATCAAGCAGCTCACAAGTAAGTAGATGTAACTCTGGCTCCAGGGAGATCCAGTGCCTCCGGACTCCAGGGAATACCTTCATTCAGTGCACATAACCACACACAGACATATAATTAAAAATAATAAAAATATTTTTTTAAATATAGCACTGGTGAACCAAACAAGACAAAAGCCAATTTCTCAGTGTATGTCTATGCAAGAAAATTAAAGCATAACCACAATGAAAAGTTACATTCTGAAGAAACTGCTTACCGAATCCACAGGCCCAGACACAGGAGCCCAGACACTGAATATCCTGGGCCAACCAGATCTATTCTGAGAAAGAGAAGCGAGATAAGATCTTGGCTGACAGCTTCCCTCTGGTCCAAGTCATACTCAGCAACCCAGTCGGCACTCCAAGGTAGAGTTTGATAACTGCAGGATGAAGGGGTGACGCCTCTAGTTCTAGCAAATGTGACTGAGAAAAGCTGCTGGGGGTGGGGGGGTATGATTCACCAATCCATACACTGGCATGAGAAAAGGGACGCAATTCTAAAGACATGTGACCTCTGGGCTCCTAACTGACACTCCGAGGATGTTTTGCAAATCGAAGGAAATGGACACCTGAGGGCAGTTCTTGCACAATTTACTAACCTGTGGTCATCCAAGAAGAGAAAGCGGAGCAAGTTTGCCTCCGCGTCAAAAGTGCTGTTCTCAAAACCATCCAAACCCAACCTAAAACAGAACTCACTTACATTTCACGCGGTGACAAGCACACTGTACATGCTGAGTGTCCGTGCATTTTTCTTTAGGCTATAGGTGGGGAGGGGGGGAGTAGAGCAGCGGTACCAATCAAGAGCCTTACACTGGAAAGGACCGTTCCCGGGAAGAGCAGTGGGGAAACTCCACTGCAGTTTCACAAGCCAAAACTCCTCGCACAGCCAGGTGCTTCACCATTCCAGGGTGGCCAGCCTTATACACAGCCACTGGTCCAGCACGCAGATTTCCACTCCCCCCTCCCCCCCCCCCAAGGGTGGCTTTGGGCTTGGCCCTGCAAATGTCAGTCGTCTGGGCTAAATTCTTCTTTAGCAACTGCTGAGATTTAACAGCGCACCACAAAACTGGAAAACGGGTTCCACCCGACCTCCACACCAGTGACTGGCACATGTCAAAGAGTCGTACGAAAGCAAACACTTGGGGAGTGACTTTAGCAACTAGACCCAGCTACTTGGAATTTTTTTTTTCTTTTAATGTTTTTAACTGGTCAGGAAACAGGCATTCTCGTCTTAAAACACCTCCCGAAAGCACCTCTCCTGGAAGCCCAGGAGGTAAATAACACCAGCGCTTCCTTAAAAGCTTTCAAAAGAACCAGGCGGTCAGGCTGCGCTGCTCAGGCTGCTCCGGGAAGTAACTCCATCCAGCCTTGGCGGGCAAGGATGGGGTGTCTGCAGGTGGGAGAAGGGGGTGAGGCAGTACACCTCAAACTTTGCAGGTGCTCTTTTTAGCTGTTCTGGGCAGGAGCTGAGAAAGGCCTAACCCACCTGCTCTGCGTCCAGGACAGCTGGCATCCCAACCAACCAGACCTGCCCCCTCGGGGTACTGCCCTCCCGGTGGCCCCTCACCTTGGCCTCAAAAGAGATGCCGTGCTGGAAGGCGTCTTCGTTGTGCAGAGGGATCCTCAGGTCGTGCCCGTCGTCCACAAGGTTGTACTTGGTTTTGCTGGGCATGGTGACCCGCGGTGGACCCGCTGCTCAAGGGGCGGCGGTGGCGGTGGCGACGGCGGCAAGAAAGAGCTGGCGAGACCCGGGAGAGGGAACAGTGGGGCCAGGCGAGGTAGCAGAGAGGACCCGGGTCGTGCAGTGGGTAGCCTGGGTGCCAGGCGGTGGCTGGGGGGAACCCGGAGCGAAGCAGAGGGCCGAACGGCAAGGGCGGCGCGGATGCGGCTGGTGTGAGCTGCTTGGTGGCTGAGCTCTGGCTACCGGGAGGCGGCCAGGCGGTCGGGAGGCGGGAGCGGGTGGCACGGAGCCCCAGACCGCGACGCCGAGCGAAGGGCGCACGGCCCGGAGCGGGGCTAGACCCGGAGCCCGATCCCGAGCTCGGCGCGCACAGCCCGGGACGAGGAAGAAAGGCAGCGGCGGCGACGGTGGAGCAGGGTGCCTGTCACGGAGACGCCGGATCGGCTGCCAGCCCGCGGCTCCTCCTGCGGGGCGGGCCCGGGCCGACTCCTCCCGCGCGCCACAGCTCCGCCCGCCCTTCGCCGCCGGGTCCGCCCCGCGCCCCGCGCGCGCCCAGCAGGTGAAAGTCCCCGCAGCGTCTAGCCGGGACCCGGGAACTTCGCCCCGGCCTCACCAGAGGACCTAGGCGACACAGCCTGCTCAGCTGGTAGCGGCGAAACAGCATCGCCTTGCATTTGTTTGTTTGTCTTGTTTTGTTTTGTTTGAGGAGCGGGAGAGGAGCGATGGTTTTTGTTTTGTTTTGTTTTGTTTTCCCAAGAAGGCCCAAGATCTGTCTCAGACACTCTAGGTCAGAGCTGCATTAATTCAGAGATCCCAGCTTCTCGTAAGAATCAAGGCGAAAGGGGGGGGGCTGTCTCCAGCGCCTTTTGTTCCTTTGGGTGTGCTGCTTGCGTTTGGGGACACAGCAGGGTGTCTTTGGGAAGAATTTAAATATTTAAGAGTCAGCCTTGTTGAACTGAAGTAGGCGGAAAAGGGAGCATTAGGAACAAGAGATTCCAGAGTGTTCTTGTGCCCTTAATTAAACTTCTAAACTGAGCATTGATTTAAAAAAAAATGTTGCCAAAATTCTGTGAGGTTTCTTAGTAATGAGCAAATGAAGCAGCCATAGGAGGATTTAGAGACTAAATATTCACTGTGTGTCAAAACGTCATAGATAGTGTTGTATAACAGTTTCCTCTGAGATTGACGTAGTCTGTCCTACTGGGAAGCTCCTTAAGCAGGAAGGTAAACAAGTCAAAGTAGCTCCAGGAAGTCCCTGAAACTGGTCAGACCCACTAGGCCCCTCCCTGCCAGAGTAAGCAGTAAATGCTGAGAGCCTCAGCAAAGACTCCCAGAGCAGACCAGATGCCTGGAAGAGGTCTAGACCACAGTGGCTCAGCAAGGGCACTGTCCAACCTGTTGAGCTGCCTTCAGGCTGTGCTGTGTGCTCCAGGTTCCTAGCTCTTGTGGACTGTCACCCATGCTGGGGTGAAACTTGGCAATACAGCTGTCCTTGTGTCATTTCTGCTCCGGTCAGTAACCTTACCCATATTCCTGTAGGTAACCCCAGTGAAAGTCATTGGTTCAACCAAGTTGGACTTGGATGGTATCCATTCGTTGGTATGTAGTGAGTTTCCTATCTGGGGTGAACAGGTATGTTCGCTGTGTCTCCCCAAGTAAAATTTATAGATGCAATTTATGTCTTCATAGCACCAGACGCCCCAATAGTACCCAGCCCTGCTGGTGTCAGAGCTAAGATCCCCTGGATGAAAATGACCGTTTTTGGTTGTACAAACATGTGATTGCTAACATCGTCAACTTAACCAGATCTAGACCCTCCTAGGAGACAGCCCTCTGGTCAGTCTGGGAGGGAGGCTCACACTGGGGAGCTGGGATGGGAAGACCCACGCCAGAGGTGGGTGGCACCATTCCATGAGCTGGGGTCCAAAACTGAATTAAAAGGGGGAGGTGAGCTGAGCACCAGCACCCATCTCTCTACGCTTTCTGACTGCAGAAGCCATGGGACCAGCTGCCTCCCACTCTCATCACCACGCCTTCCCCACCATGACAGACTACGCGGGAATACTGCAGCAAAAGAAATCCCTCCTTCCTTCCATAGTGCTTTATCAGATATTTCATCAGCACAACAAGAAAAATAGCAAGTACATCTCTTTGGTTTGGTTTTGTCTTCGTTTAGGCTTGGGTTTTCTTCTCCTAGTACTAGGGATTGAATCTACCTTTGAGCCCACTCTTTACTTGCTGTTTTCAAACAGTCTCACTAAATTGCCCAAGCTTGCCTTGAGCCTGCAATCCTCCTGCCTCATCCTCTCCAGTGGCTGGGATTATAGACCAGCATCACCAGGTCCAGAATAACTCTGCCTTCAATGCTCTGTGGACACCACCACCCAAACCATTCTTAGACTGTTGCTTGTTGCCTAGGCTACCCTTAACATCCCCAAGAAATACCCCCAAAGAGACCGCTCTGTGTCGTCTCCGTGATGAATTTAAGCGAGCAGATACATTATTGTCCTGATGGTATTTCTTATCTTGTCTCCTAGGGTGAAAAGTACAGCTGCCCTTAGCTGTACTCTGCTGTTGCCTGTCTGCTCAAATTCCTGTGAAGAGATACCATCTTCCGGGGGTATCTCCCTAAATAAAAGCAAGCCAGTGACTAGGACAAATTAATCACACATTATGCTGCAGAGACTTTATTATATTCGTAAATATTAGTAAGAGCCAAAAATAATTTGCACTGAGGAAATGCACCAGTAACCTTTTTATAAATACGAGCCCTAAAGCTCTAATCAGGCATGCAGGGTTCTTTGAATGTCACCGTGGCTTTAATATGCATCAGAAATACACTTTGTAAAACCCAACTTAAAGGCAAGATGTTAAATAACTATTTACGTCTCATATTCTCTCCCAAATTAATCATGTTCCCCGACTCTAACAGGCCTTTTCTCTAGAGTAACTTGCACCTCGCTGGTCTGATGAATTTGCCAGAATTTTATAACTAAGGACTATAACACATTGTGTCGAGACATGACACAAAAAAGGCAAGAGGCCTCAAAGGTCTGTCAGGGCCTAACGTAGAGAGCACCACACAGAAGACACCCGGTGATTGCTTACAAGGCTGCTGTGTGGTGCCCTGTTCTCACATCTTACCATTGCCTCGTGTGATATACACAGCAGCCCTAACATAGCAGACTGCATGAAAAAGCTGGGACACAGAGAGGTTTTCACAACTTGCCGAGGTCACACGTACAAAGGAGAGGACCGGAATCAAGGTGCAGACTGGCCCCTGCAATGCTCCTGTGTGTAGATATGAATCTGGTGAAACTCCAGGGTTATGGCTTGTTTCGGTGTGTATTGTTGCTCGCCTATGCTCGCTCTGTTTCACTGAGATGAAATGTTCCAAAAAGGAGAGCCTGTTCCGATGTGGCCTTTGCCTTCTATCACGTCAGCACCAGACAGGCCTGCAAAGAGCCTTCTTTCAGAAAACAATGGACATCCACAGTAATTTCCTTTTTTAATATTTTTAAAGTGATATCAGCCTTTTTTTTTTTTACACCTTTGATTACCATCGAATAATACCTCAGAATTTCCAAGTCCATTGAAGAAAAAGAGCAAATAAACTCCCGAGTTCTCTTGTTCTATAACTTTCAGTTTGTTTCAGCTTTTATGATTTTATTTTGCGATGGGCTCCCATTCAGCAGCCCAGACAGGACTCACACATTTGCTGCCCTCCTTCAGTCTCCCAAACTGCTGCAATTTCAGACCAGTGCCATCAGGCCCAACTCGTAGTGTTTGAAGTAACCACTTGCTGTGTAACGCAGACTGTCCTGGAACTCATAATTCCCCGGCCTCAAGCCTAACCAAATCCTGGGGTTGCAAGTGCAGATGACCACATGGAACTCCTTTGTATTAGTATTATCTGTGTATTTGTAAGAAGAAAACAATGTATTTATTCTCAATATGAGGGAACTGAATCCAAGGCCCCTTACACATCAAGCAAGTACTGTATCCCTAAGCTGCATCCCCGGTTAGTGCTTCTGGTTCTTAATTACTACATAATAAAAAGTCTGAATTATATTTCCTTTAAATAGAAATTGCTTATTCATAAAATACTTCCTATGCTAACTTTGTTTAGTTATTTTTTTAATTTATTCATTTTTATTTTATGTATATAAATACCTTGCCTGAAGGTATGTTATGTGCACCACGCTGTCCTGGAGCTGGAGTTACAGACAGTTGTGAACCACCATGTGGGTGCTGGGAACCAAACCTGGGTCCTCTGGAAGAACGGCCATTGCTTTGAACCTTTGAACCACCACTCCAGCCCCTTAACTTTGTTTAAAAATTAATTCTAGAGTCTGTGTGATAGCACATGCCAGTAATTCTGGTACACAGGAGGCTGGGAAGCTGAGGTGGGGGTGGGGTGTCAAGAAGTCAAGGCCAGCCTTGGCTATGTTGCAAGTCCCTGGTTCAAACATAAATAAATAAAAATAGGGGGTTGTAAAGATGGCTCAGTGGTGAAGAGCACTGGCTGCTCTTTCAGAGGGCCTGGGTTCCACTCCCAATACCCACATGGTGGCTATAGTCACCTGTAGCTCCAGTCCTAGGGCACCTGTTGCCCTTCTCTGGCCTCGGTGGGCATCAGGCATGAAAGAGATTCTCAGATATACATGCAGGCAAAATACCCACCCATATAAAAATAAAATAAAACTTTTAAAAATCAAAATCAGGCTGGGTTTAGTTGTGCACACCTTTAATCCCGTTATTCAAGAGGCAGAAGCAGGTGAGACTCCATGAGTTCAAGGCCAGACCCTTCCTCAAAAAAAAAAAAAAAAAAAAAAAACAATTGTAAGAGCTAGGATTATGGTTCGGTGGTAGAACACCTGTGTAGCAACTGTAATCTTCAGCGATCTTTTCATTACACAGTCATAAATGAGTTTAGAATCAATAGCAAATCTATTTTTTAATTTTATAACATATTTGGAATTCAAAAAAAACAGATTTGCTCATAAATTTCTACTTTATGGGGCTATAGATTAGGTTCAACCCCAGTAGTACAAAATAAGCCTTGCTCTGACTTATTAATAAAGTCTTACTTGGCCACATGAACTGTTCATGTCTTCATTTGACAGATGAGGAAACTGCAGCCAAGAGAAGGAAATCCTTTACATGGATGGAGAAGCAGAAAGTCCTGGGAATCCTTACACGAACATTAGCCAACAAAAACGAAAAACATATTAGCTTGCTAAATGCTACCCAGACACTCTATGATTGCTAATCTTGGCTGTCAACTTGACTCCATATGGACTCAACCAAGCCCCAAGCATCTTATACACCTTTCTTCTTTTTTTCTTTTTTTATTCTTCTTTCTCCTCCTCCTCCTCCTCCTCCTGCTGCTGCTGCTCCTCCTCCTCCTCCTCCTCCTCCTCCTCCTCCTCCTCCTCCTCCTCCTCCTCCTCCTCCTCCTCTTCTTCTTCTTCTTCTTCTTCTTCTTCTTCTTATCTCATCTGTATTTACCTTTTAAAGCAGAATGGGATTGGGCACTGTATTTCCACTCACAAGCCTTGCTGAGTTACAAGACCTAGGGAAGCTTAGGATTTTGATCTCGGTACCTGGGAAAACAAGCCACATGGGCAAATCCTGTTGTTTTAGCTTGGGCACTTACTTCTAAGACTAGTAAATACAGCATTGACTATTGGGGATGGAAAATTTTAAGATGAAACCTAAGCCTTCTTAATTTTTTTTCCTTTTAAACATGAAGTTATATCTAGGAACACTTCCAAGTGACAAATTATTTGGTCTACTGTGGAATCCAGTTCAACAGCTAAACACTTCAGATCACAAAGTTAATAGGTTTAATTATATCTCACAACAAGTGTTCTACCAACCTATTGAATCGGACCTATAGTATCCCAGGGTCACATAAGTAGAAAGAAATTTATCTTCCTCTTAGTTTTCATGCCACACAGATGTTTTAAATGTTAATAAAAAGTCCCAGAAAATATATTATCAAAAGAAATGAAAGTAAGCATCAAACATGAAGTTCTGGTGCAGCTTCCATGACGGATCTTCTTGACCAGATGATATGAAGCAAGAAGACCCCCCCCAAAACTGGGCTGCATCTTCTGACAGCAGCCCAGATAAAAGGACACAGAAGAATGGAGCTTTTTCTGTCTTGCCTTCGCTCTTGCAGGCCAAGTTCATCTATCCTGTTGCCACATCCTTCTTTCGTCGATATTAGAACCAACTTCTTCAGGATTCCAACCCAGGTTGAAGACTGGCATCTCTCCAGACCTCCAGCGTCAGACTCGGATCAAGTCTTGTAGACTGAACAGCTACCAACTCTCCTCTTCTCCTGTGTGAGGCAGCCGCTGTTGGGCCACTCAGACTACATAGTGAAGTCAGGAAATAGCGTACTCTGAGCTAAATAGGAGTGACGAGGGTCAAGGAATGTGAATTGAAGTCACCCCAAATGGCATGTTCTGCCATGGAAGAGGTGACGTGAACTCATAGCCACAAAACCAAAGATCCTATGTCGAAACATATACCCATCACACTGGTGTGGCTTCACTGTATCTCATGGCCCTCCTTGAGATGTAAAAGATATGTCTATTCACTAAAAATAGGGAGAAACTCACAGATAAAAAGAAAGATTCCTCAGGTTCAGTTTGTTGGAACCCACCTCAGTCCATTTCCTACTCCTTAGACACTTCCGCGTTCCTAGGTTCCATGCACCAGGTTCCATATAACTGGTAGTTACCACATCAAAAGAGGGTTCTAGGTGGGTCTCTGGCTTCCCTCTACTTCGCCAAGAGGAAACATTAACATTCTCATTTCTCTGCTGTTCAGTTCTTTTCTGTTCCCATGATGTCTGCCACAGCCCCTGTAAGTCACCATAGCTGCTCTGCTTTATGAAAACCATGTGTCAATCAAACCCAGAGAAAACACCTATGAGAAAAAGCCTCTGCAAATTCTAGCTTGTGTTTTTAACCAAAAGAGACTAAATTTTAGAATCTATGAAGCTTAGCAAAAACTTAAACTATTCTAAACAGCAGGTAGGTGTGGTGGATCAAGCCTGTGACCCCAGCACTTAGAACGTTAAGCAGGAGGGTTGCCATGAATTCTTGGCCATCCTGGACTAGAGAGTGAGACCCTGTGTAGTAGTTTGAGGAGTGTTTCCCATAGGCTCACATATGTGAGCACTGGGTCCCCTGTTGGTGTTGCTGTTTGGGGAGGTTATGGAAGGTGGGGGCTTGCCTGGACAAGTAATCACTGGCATGGACTTTGAGAGTTCAACAGCCTTGCGCCACCTACAGCTCACTCTCTCTCCCTCTGTCTCATGTAGTAGGGGAAGATGTGTTTCTCTTAATGTCCCATCTCTCCTGCCTTAGCCTCCTGAGTGACCTAACAGGTAATGTATCACCATATTCACATCCGCAGTACCATTTTTACCTGACAGTGTTTGTAGAGAACCTGGAACTAGAAATTGTTATCCACCTTAGAGGATAGCGATAACGATATTAAGTTATTGGGGCTGGAAAGATGCCTCAGTGGTTAGGAGGGCTTATTGCTCTTGCAGAGAACTCGCATGATGGCTCACGATTGCCTGTAACTCCAGTTCCAGGGGACCTGACGCCCTTTTCTGACCTTAAAGACGACCAAGCGTGCCATGTATACATACTACATGATGCTATTATAAAATTATATAAGTTTAAAAAAACAAATCATTATTTAAAAGATATTAAGTCATTTTCCTTTAGGGAAGAAAAATAGTATACTCTCAGTCAGGTATGGTGGTGCCCGCCTTTACTCCCAGCACTTGGAAGACAAAAGCAAGCAGGTCTCTGTGAGTTCAAGGCTAACCTGGTCTACATAATGAGTTCCAGGTCAGCCAGGACTACAGAGTGAGACCCTGTCTTACTAACCCTTTCTAGTATGAGTTTGGTCTATAATGGTCTTTACGATGTGACATGTTTCCCCAGTAAGAAAGATTGCCCTCTTGGGTGTGGTGGAGCATGACATACCTATCAGGACGATTACTGAGAATGCAAAGCACCCTGAGCTCCAGAGCAAGGCCCTGTCTCACAAAAACATAAAACAAATGGCCAGGTATGATGACTCATGCCTGTAACCTCAGCACTGGAGAGACTGAGTCAGCAAGGTTAGTGCAAGTGCAAGGCCAGCTGGGGCTACCTGGCTGAGAGCCTGATTCAGAGAGAGAGAGGAAGAGAGAAAGAGGAAGAGAGAGAGAAGGGGAGGGGAGAGAGGAGAGGAGAAGAGAAAGAAAAAGGAAAAGGAAAGAAGGAAATTTATTCTGAAAGGTATCACATACTGTGTTGGAGACTATATATTCTACCTGCAATAGCACACCACCAGTCGTTTTAAAGTAAATCTCTTTTTAAAAAGTATATGCATAGTCCGTTTTTATAAACCAAATATTCTGTCAATTCACTTCCTAATGGGAACGCCTCTGAGATGCTAAGCTTTCCCCAACAGTCAAGTAAGAAGAGGGAAGGCAAGCTGAGTGGAAGCATGGGGAACTTGCCAGGCTGGAGCATCTTCCTCCTCTGTGTGTGCCTTCCCACACACATCCCTGGACCAGAAAGGCATGATACAAGAGCTGTGTGTCAAAGGTTATGGCCCCTGGGTCCCATGGTGCACATCCGGGGTCCCAGGGACTCAAAAGGCTCCAGAAAGAGGACTCCTGAAGCCCCAGAGTTGGAGGCCAGCTGCCTAACGGGGGTAGGCAATTAGAAGAGGTGAGAAAAGGAACAAGGTCATAGAAATTATGAGTTAAAGAATGAAATTAGGTTCTTAGGATGTTTAGAATTCCCTTCTTCACGGATCTCTCTTAGATAGTATATAACCATCCCATCCATCCTTTCTAACTCACAAGTTTAATTTCCACATTAAACTTAATAATTGTGTTTCTTGGCCCTACTCTGTCTTTCAGGCAAGAAATATTTGTTGATTCACGAGTTTGTGATCAATAACAGCAGCATCGCTTTTATCAAGTGTTCCTGCTGTAAGA